CTCAATTTTTCAAATATTAAAGCTATTTTTGATTGATATTAAGGTTACAAAAAGTATTTCACTTTTTGGTTACACATTGTTCACTCACTCGCTTTAATGTTACATAAATTTTCCAATTAATATCAATTAAATTTAATTATGTAGATCAATTAACAAATCTAAGAATCAATAATATCTAATATATAATTGTTTAATAAAATAACAACCATCTAAAAATAACTATTCAATAAAATATAAGTATGAAATTAACCAATAGAATATATAATAAAATATTATCTAATTAAATTTATGATATGAATTAACCAATAAAATAAGAACTAAATATTTATATCATAACAATATATAATAAATTCTAAGAATCAGCTCTTGTTTGTAAAGTTATTTCTTGAATAATTTGAATTTGTGAAGAAATTTAAAACTCTTTATCATTTTAAAAATAACTCTGTAAAGACTCTTGAATTCATAACTTCTTTATTCAATTATATTAGTATTAAAAATATAACTAAAATTATTATATACTCAATATTTAAAACAAATCAAAAATATTTTGAATATCAATTGTAATGAATATGATATATCTCTAATATATTTATATTTTTAATACTTATTGATTTTGAAATAATACTTTACAATAAAGTTAATATAAAAATATAAGTTTTATATGAATTCTTTATTAGTTTTAACAAATAAAATTATTATCAGTATTTGCTTTAATTAACAAAAATACTAAAAAAATTTTATTTATTAGTAAAGCATGATTATAAATAATTAATTTATAATTATATCATTAATATCTAAAGCATATTATTAATAAATGATTAAAATAATATTTCTATAAACTAAATCAAATCAAACTTTTGTCTGAGTTCAAGTCTGATTCAAAATTTGAACTAAACTCAATCAGACTTTGACTTGAGTTCAAGAAAAGTTTAAAGTTTGAACTAAATTCAAACTAAATTATTATACAAGTTTGAATTTGATTTGAGTTTGGTTAAAGATTAGTATATAGTAATAGATTTATAACTCTAAGTAAGAATTACAATTTTAATTATACTATAGTGCAGAATACTTAAAGATATCAATAAAATTAATTATTTTTAAAACAAAAAATTTTATATAAAAATCATACAAAAAAAAGAAGATTATTATTTTGTAGTAAATAAGTTTAACTATAAAATATCAACCATTTTTTTTTGCATAATCTTTGTATAAAGATTTTTTGCTTTAAAAATGACTAATTTTATTATTATTTTTAAGTATTTTGTATTATATTTAGTAAAAATTAAAAGTTTATTTAGTGATAACTAAATTATTTTTATTTTTACAATTATTAAATTTTATTATAAATTTCATATATCTCTTTGAATAATCATTATTAATAGTAATTATCTTATATTATATTATAACTTTTATTTCTAATTACAATTTATTTATAAATATAGTTTATTATTACATAAATATTTATAAAGTAACTAAAGTGAATTAAAATTATAAAAATCAAAAATAATTTTTAAATCTAAATATCTTTTTGAATATTTATTTTAATATTAACTATTTTATATCAATTTGTAACTCAAACTTAAATTAGATTTTTAATTGGATTCAAATTTTTAAACCAGATTTTTAATTAGATTTGAGTTCAGTTCAAGTTCGAATTGAATCAAACTCAAACTGAACCAGACTTGAACTGAATCAAACTTTTTTTTAGAATTCTATTTTGATATCTAGTAATCTAATTTGAACAAAAAATAATACTATTTGATTTGTTTCAACTAAATGAATTAAATGATAGTATTTTTGTTTAAATCAGATTACTGGATATCAAGAATTAGATTATTGAATATTAAAATATGTATTATAAAATAACTGGATATACATGCATGTATTTAGGATGTGAATATATAATATTTAATATATAATATTTAATATAGAAGTTTTATCAATCTATAAAAGATATCAATAATCAACATTTGTAATGTTCTTTATGTTCAGAAAATTTTGGTATATTATACATAATTTATGAAAAATTAAGAGAAATATGTTACTTTTGATGAGCATTATAATTGTAATGAATTGTTAACTACAATTACTGCAATAAGTATTCAGTTTACAATATTCATGATTGTAATAAATGTACCAAATGTCAAAACAACAAGTATTATCATAAATATTTTAAATATTACAAATGAATTTATATTGAATAATCTAACTGAAATAAAGATATTGATTGTCTAATTAATGAATTTTATTAGTTAGTTTGGGGACCGACGTTTCCGAGAAACTATTCCTCGCGATTACCGTGGCCCAATAGAGATCTTAATTATTTCGTTATGATATTTGTATATTTTTAGAAAAATTTTATGATAATAAAGATTTATGTGACAGAATTGTTCGACAAATATTTAATAAGATTATACTTACGGTACACGTTGACAATTTATTTCTACTTCTTTGAATTTTTCATAAATTTCTTGTTCAAATTTTTGTCCACGCTGATAAGTAGTTATATTATACATAGATTCTTCGAATGGATTCCTTTTGAAAGATTTACCAATGTTGAATATCTTGCAAAAGAAGATTTTGGATCAATTTATAAAGCAATCTGGTTGAATGATTTATTGAATTTCAAATGGAATCACGTAAAGAATAGATTTAAATGATATAGAAAAAGAGAAATTGTGTTGAAATCATTACACAATTCAAAGTCAGAGTTTATAAACGAGATAAAATAAATATCTTATAAAGTGCAAGAATATTACTTTTGATTTTCAATATAATTAACTTTTCAAAATTAGATTCAGTTTGTATTGAGAATTCACCAATTCAGACTAGTTGAAGAATTTAAATTTTAAGAAAAGAACTGTTATTAAATAAACTTATTAAAAATCACAGTTACATATATTATTTTTTGTGTATAATATAAAGCGTAAGCATATTACGTTATTGCTATAAAGAAATGGTTTTCAAAGACAACCCTTGCAGCTCTTGCGACTCCTGCAAGGGATATCGGACGGTTGACTTTCACATTGGGGTGATGTAAACGTAACCCGTTTGGTGGTCCCAGCGTAACTTGGGTTGGCGTCGGAATCACATGACCCGACACTTTTTTTCGCCATGACTAGGATACTAAAATGCCACCTTTATTGGGAATCATTATAGATTCTATTTATTACATAGTAAATCCTTTTTTATGAGAATTAGTAACTCTCGACTATTCGGTCAATAGTCAATATTTTTACACCCCTTGATAGAAAAGAATTAAGCCACAAATAATCAGTCAATATACAAGAAAACAAATGAAAAACCTAAGAACAAATTAGTTACCGTGTTGAACTCTTCTGATACCGGTTGACATCTGTTTGTTTGACAACGACAATATGCGTAACTTCAGAGTTATTGATATCATCTGTAAATTCTGCTCCTTGATATTTTAGTATTGATTTTACAAGTCGAAATCTATCGATAATTATATATACATTCGTAAAAAAACGCGATCTTCACATATAAAAAGGGTTGTATCACATCAATTAATGAAGGGTACACACCGATCCCGAGTATTTTCTCGAATAGCCCATTCTAGATTTCGATCTCCTATATTGTTGTTATTCTTATTGCTATTTTCTTTTAGAGGCCGTGACGACGATGACGAAGAAACATCAAGATACACCAAACAACCCAGAAACGAATTATATGATAGTAGATTTTCCAAGGAAATTTCTTGAAAACAGGCTTGCATTTTGGCGAGTAATTGATGTCGTTGCCTGTCTGCAGTTGAAAGTTCACGACTTGGCATTCGATCCAAAATCTTTATGATGGTAAAAAGTAACGCTCATGAATTCAATAATGGAATAATTAAAAATAATATATATATATTTTAGGTTATACCTCTTTTATATCCTCGGTTGTGACCTCTTCGACGTAACTATCACCCCATTCATCCATACTTTGACGAAACTTTATCTCGGTGGATTCAGTCGTAAACACCATATACCTTAAATATATGAAAATATACAATAAATTATTTTTAAAATTTTTCTTTTTCTTGAAACATTAAATATGAAGAAACTATAATGTTTATCGTAAATTTACTTTGGATTTAACGGTATAACACGACCAGCCTCAATACAATCAGTAATCCATCTCGGATGAATAATATCGCATTTTTCTTTTTTGATTAGATTTTTCACGCTGAAATCTGAATTTCAAAAAAGAATACTAGTTAAGGTAATGTCTTTTAACAAAAGAAATGGAAAAGATAAGAAACATTACATTTATCCGAATCAGAAATCACATAAATTTGAGGAGACCCTTCCGGATGTTGAAACAGGTTTCCACCATGTTCTTTGATTTGGCGTTGCAATTCTTGTTTAGACTTTTGTTGCATAATACCTAAATAAAATATTAATATTAATAATATATGAAATATCAATCAAATTACATGTAATGGTTTGATTATTTACAAAAATCCATGTTTTTGAAAAGTGCCGGTTTCGATTTGTCTGTGGATGTAGATGCATCCGCGACCGTGAAATTATCAAGAATTCGGAGTTTTTTTCTTGGCTGTAGTAATAAAAATGGATAAAGGTATCTCAATATTATGTTTTAGGTATTAAAATACCATGATTTTCCAATAAAACACCTCGGGTCTCTTACCAAATTACCCTATTTAATTTGCAAGAAACAAGAGCCAATTTACGGGAGAGGCTACGCTAATAGATATTTCGTGCAATAAAAGACCCAGAGTCTAATTCAAATTACACCTTCAATAGCATTGCGTGTCTATCTCTAAAAGGTTACATCATGAATTGGAGGTGCTCTTTATTGGAAAATTACGGTAATCAAATACTCATTTATATATAAAAATTAAAAACTCAATAATTAATAGATTCCTACCTTTTGTGGTTCATTGATTTTTCTACGCTTTGATCTCGTAGTGTGACTAAAATAAAATTAAATAATTAAATAAGTGCAAGAATACCACTGCCAAAAACCTCGAATATCGATCTTACATGAAATCAGACGCTGTCATTTTCTTCGACTGTACTCCATATTTTTTTATATCCATCATTTCTTAGTAAATAATGTTTATTAGGAAAATCGAAGTAATCAAATGTTTTTAAGATACTCGGATTGAATCGGGTCATGATAATATACCTTGAAAACTCATAGCGCTCTGCCAATCCTTTTCTTGTCGAATTTTTTCAAATCGTGGAAATCGCAGTGTGTACGGGACAGCGAATGTGTCTCCTACAAATAACAAAATATTTAGGAGTTTGTTTATAGGAACTAGTGTGAGTATTCGATTTATTAAGCTATTAATAGACATGCAAATTTCTTGAGTGAAGCTAAAAAAAAATACCTGAAGGAACAATTTCGGCGGCTTTAATTTGTACTACATATGACCTTCACGAAAATTATATAACTGATTAAATGGGATTTCAAGAATAGTAGCGTATTATTGCGATAAAACTTACTTATTTGGAGCAATAATTACATCCGGTTTCTCCTTTCCAAAAGAAATCCAACTTGGACATTTATTCGCATCAAAAGGTTTCCAGTCTTGTGGATTTTTGCTGTTTAAGGAGCAAGATTATGATAAAAATTTTATTTCAGGTTTTTATTGAAGAAAACAGATAATAAATAAACTTACTTGAATTCTTTTAGGTCTTCCATGGTAACTCCGGTGCCAAAACGACAAAATGATTGAAACCTTTCGAATTAATAATCAATTGAATATTCAATTACGTAATGAACAGGTTATTTTATTTGGATAAAAATACAAAAATCCTACACATACTTCGGTTCAGATGATGAAGTGTCTCTTAGACCACAAAAAAAACTTCCAAGCATATCACGACGCTTTCCAACTCCATAAATTCCACCTGATAAGAAAAGAAATAATTGAATAAAATATTCTCTGAGAGGAAAATATAAACATACAATATACTAAAAAATATGATACCTATGACCAATAAATCCAAAGAATCACCCAAAGTGTCCATATATTCCGGCTTAATCTTGATCCAGTCATTGTTTCTTGTATTTAACGTATAGGCACTGGATGGGTTTTTAACGATAACACCTTCTTGTCTATAAATAAAAGTTTCAGCGTAAATTCGCGGTGTTAATAACTCGAAAAATTTTAATGAAATCCAATTTAAGAGATTCATTCCAATAAATAACAACCTTCCTCGAATAGCCATCTCAACAGCATCCACCAACTCTTTCTGAGTTGACGCGGTTTTATGTTCCAGTATTATCAGGTGACCTTCTTTTTCTTTTACAACCTTTCGTAGAAACAATTGTCGTTCTGATAATGGTTTTTCGACAAGTGCTTTTCCGTTGCATAAGAGAATATCAAAAATTACAACTATTCACGTAAATATTTGCACATTAAGAATATATAATGGCTTTTCTTATATGATAATGATAACATTGCCAGAAATCGTAAATAAAAAAAGATACAGCAAGGTCTTGCTTTATTTTCATCCGCAGAACGATCTAATTATTTTAAGCCAATTGTAGCTAATATTAATCATTATACATGTCAAAGAGATTCTTATAAATAAATACATACCGAGCCCAGCAGTTTTCAAAGTACCAAATGGCAAAACAGCTTGATAAATTGGATCCCAAGTAACCATTTCGCCATCAATAACGCAACTGAGAAATGACCATAAGATTAATATCAAACACAATAAAAAATAATTTGTTGAGTAATAAATATTTACCTCTTAACTCGCGAATCAAAACAATCATAAATAAAGGGCGTTAAAGATCCTTCATATCTATTAGAACCATACAATTCTGTATAATTTGTAGCTCTCCTATTATGATTTTTAATTAACCGATTCGAAATGTTAACATGTATGAAAAAATAAGAAAAATTGAAAGAACAATTATCATATTCTTACCTTGAATAATACTTATATTCTCTATCACGCATATGTAACTGTATTCGTTCACCATCCAATTTTTGTTCAATCCAAAATTCACCTCCCATCAATTTAACAATGTCTTGTATCGGAACAAGTTTGGCAAGCATTGGTTTTATCGGATTGAAAAGTGAGATTTCCTATTATATAAATTCATAATAATTAATTATCTAAAATTTGCAGATTGATCTTGCATTGATAATGTAATATGTACGATAGAAATGAATAAAAAAAAACTTGCTTTTACTGTAAGTCTAATCGTTGGATCTTGTAAATCTTCGCAAACTTTTTTCAGACTACTGCAAATATTAAAAAGATCCTCGGCATCTGGATGGTAAACTTGAAAAACGGATTTTTCAGTCAATCCAAATTTTAGTTCTAAAATAAAACAATTGTTTTATTGTGAATGATAAGTAAAAAAAAACGATTAAATTATAAATATATATACATGTAACGTAAAATATACCCTTTAAAATTATTCGAATAATCCATTTTTGTTCGTCAGGAGCACAATTATCAAAAAAATATCGAATCACTTTTTGACTTTCTTTTCTACGATGAAAAATTCAATAAATAAATTGATAATTAATTATTAATAAAATGCAACATTTCATATATATATAAATAAATACACAGATTCCGCAGCATTCAATAAATCAAGCTGATTGTTCACTTCAGCAATTGTAAGTTTACCACGTCCCATTACGGTCGATCGTGGCGCAATAACATCATACGCGACTGATGCAAAATCACCGGCTGTTTGCTAATTGAATGAATGTATGGGTTAACAATTATAAACAGACCATACAATTTGTTAATTTAGAGATTTACATTATTTTTTCCAGGCACTTTCCAATTCAAAAGTCGCTGCCCTGTCTCTGATTTTCGTCCAATTCCTAAAACATCAATATATATCTTTGCCAGATTTGCTTCCTTCATTCTATAGTTAGCTCCTTCTTTATTAAGCTGAAATTATAAATAAATAAATACGCTAAATCAACAATTATGACTTTAAGTATCGACAAATTTTCATGCCACAACAGACTCTAAAAAGACAAATATCTCAAATATTGACGTACGTATGGTAATAGTAATCGCATAACAGGATAAAAATCATGACCGTATTTACGACGCCATGTCTATTTACAATATCAAGCATTCAAAAATATTACGTTAATTTCGTCAAACTAGTCAAAAAAATTCAAATTGTAATTAACCCACTTGAAGATATTTTTCGAGACGCCTTTTCTTTTGATCACCCTTTGCTTCCTGAACAAGTTCAAGTAAACGACAAAGGTCACTAAATAAAGGCTCATCTGAGGAAGACATTTTTGATCACTCAAGATTGAAATGGTAACTTTATAAATTATTAATTATTAATATTTATCACGTGATTAATAGGCAGATCAGTTCACGCGTAATGAGGCTTTCGCAGAAGTTAGTTAAGTTAATCTTACAAGAATTCCACCTCTGACAATTGAATACTAATTTTCATAATAGAATAAACACCCTACTTCACTTGTAAGTTAAATTCAACTTCCCTTAGTATTAGTGCGAAACTTTTCTCGGAGCAATATCCACAACCAAAAAAAAAAGCTTGCAGTGAGTGATTTAAAAGGTATTTTAGTTTTCTTTGCTACCTACACAATTATAATATTGTTAGTACGCGTTGTTCATTACATATATCCATTTATTTTTTTCTTCCAGTTCATAGCGAATGTTGTTGGAAACCACTGCAATCAGTCAGTGTTAATAGAAAACATCTCTCCTGAGGTTATTAAAAAACAACTCATTAAGTAGATGTTCATACATATATCCATTTATTTTTCTTCCAGTTCATAGTGAATATTGTTGGAAACCATTGCAATCAGTTATTATTAATAGAAAACATCTCTTTTGAAGTTATTAAAAAATAACTCATCAAGTAGATGTTCATTACATATATCCATTTATTTTTTTTCCAGTTCATAGTGAATATTGTTGGAAATCATTGCAATCAGTTATTATTAATAGAAAACATCTCTTTTGAAGTTATTAAAAAATAACTCATCAAGTAAAATTATATAATCAAAAATCTTTAATAAGTAATTAAGCTTTAATGAATTTTTAGTTATGATTATGAAATTATGAAAAGTAAAATATTCTATAATATTTTCATACTTTATTATTTTTTCTTAATGTGAGAAAAGTAATATTTTTGACTAGTTTTTTTAAATAATAGCAAGATTATGATTATTTTTTGTTTAAATATTGGTTCAAAAAATGAATCTCAAAGATATACATACCAAAAATAATATATATTATTTTTTAATAAAAATAAAATGGTTTAAGTTTCAAATAAAGATTTTACTAATAAGAAAAATAACAAATATTATATAATTATCAAAGAGAAAAGAGAGAATCTTGATTTATAGAAAAATTTTTATGTAATTGGTTAATTTAAATAAATTACTCGAATATTATTCAGATAATTAATTTATATTATAAAGAACTTTTTTGAAAATTCAATATTTTACTTATATTTTATTAATAAAAAATTAAAAAAAATTGGTTTTAGCTTTAATTTAATAGGAAAATTTTTTTGATTTATTTTAATTTTGAAGAAATTATAAAATTTTAGTTTTATAAATTAATACTGAAATATAATAGAATTATTTAATTAACTAGTATTAAATTATATAATAAAGTATTATTATCAAAATTTAATACTTTTATAAAAGAGTAAATATTTATGTTGTTTTATATTGTTATAATATAAACTTTCATTAATTATTTTATAAAATAATTTCATATTTAATTATTATTATATTTCATATCTTATTGAAAGAATTTAATTATGTGAAATAAACAAGCAGATAAACAAATAAATGAACAAATAAGTAAATAAATAAGCAAATAAGTGAATAAATATTGGACCAATAGGATTTAAGTTAGCTAGTAAATATAAATTTATATTATAATATGTAATATTTAAAATTATTAAATATTTGTATTTTATAAAATGTATAAATATTTTTATTAAAAAGTAAATATAAATATTTAATGACTTTAAATATTATGTATCATATTAGTTGACTTATAGTTTAAATATATATAAAAGTAATATATATTATAGTTATTAGAAGAAAATTAAAACAAATTCTTGATAGTAATAGTTTTAATAATTATTTTATAATTAGTTATCTCTCACTTTTGATTATTCAAATAAATTCAGTTAGTATATATTATAGAATAGGTAATCAAGTACAACTTCTTTTTATATCTCTTTGACAAAATATATTCTTATTTTTTATATAATTACTTTAATATATTTGTTATAAGTGTTATATAATTCTTGAATAAAGTATTAGTACTTAAGTACATTTGTTACAAGTACTATATTATTTAGTAAATTAGCTTCTAAATTTTTTAAACATATTTGTGATAAAATTTATTAAAGTTATTATTATTAATCTTATAACTTCTTGTCTTAATTACAAAGTTATATTTAAATAAAGAAATTATTATTATAATTTATAAATCTGTCTTATTATAATATAAATATTATTATCTTTATATTTTTAACTTTAAGTTTTTGAGAACACTTTCTAATTATTCAAATTATTATATTAAAAAATACAAATTGTTATCAATCTTTAAGTAATTTTGTTACTAGTACTTTTAGTACTTAATATATATTTAGTTTAATAGTTATAAAATATTATTAATACTTTGAATTATTATTAAAATATTATAATTTTCTTTGAATATTCCTTTAAATATTATAAATATCTTTGAGTATTTCAAAAGTTAATCAAATAATATTATAAATTATATATATATATAAAAAGTTATAGCTCATATTTAAAGTTATAAATTAATATATAATACTATATATTAATTTTAAATCAAACTTGAACTTGTATAATAATTTATTTTGAATTCAATTTAAATTTTTTTATTCAAGTCAAAATTTAATTCAAGTTCAATTTAAATTTTGAATCAAATTCAAATTTAAACAAAAGTTTAATTTGATTCAGTATATAAGAACACTAGTAATAAATTTAATTATCATTATCATTTTAATAAATTTTAAGATAATTATATATTATTATATATATATAATTCTATAAAATATAAAGTAAAAATGATCAAGTTTAAAATATAAAACTTAGATTTATAGCTAAAAGATAAATAATATATATTTATTTTGTAACAAACTAAAATAATATTAGATAAATTTAATAAGTTATATAATATAATTTTTATAAATTATAATATAAGACAATAAATTTTTAAAATAATTTTAATTATTTCTTAGATTATTTAAAATTTAGAACAAATTTATAGATAAATAGTTTAAAGAATAAAAACTTAACTTTTTACTAATAAAATTATTTTTGGTATAATAAGTAAATTTTTTATTAAATTGTTCTATAATATAATAAATATTATTTAATTTAAATAATATATTTATTTAGATATATTTATTTACTAATTTTTATTTATTTGAAATATAAAATAAATTTGTAAAAGAAATAGTTTAAGAAATAAATCAAATATTATTATTATTTTATTTTTCATTATTTTTATGATATACTATTTCAAAGTATAGTAATATTCTTTTTAATTTTTTTTTATTTTTTTATATTTTCTTATATTTTTATTTAATAATAATAATTTATATTTCTATTCAATTATTTTAT